CCGTCGGGGCTGCGGCCCCGGTCAGGTTAAGCAAATGCATTACTGTAATAACTTGGGAGGCGGCTGAAGCCATTAGCAAGAAGGGAGAATAAATATTATCCCAAGAAGCTCCAGAATCGGCGGTTTTATCACTGAGAATTGTCCCCGTGCTATTTACTTTCAATTTAAATTTTCGGGAAAGTGGCTCTTGGCACATTTTATGTATGAAGGAGAATGACTGGAATTGAAAAATGGCCTGATTCTGCCATCCAGGAGGAAAAGAGCCACGGTGTCTCGGAGTCCTGCTCTGTCCCTCTGACCCGCTCTTAAAGTCTCAGCACCGGGGCCCACGCTCAGGCACTTTCCGGAGGCTGTGGAGTTTGACCGGAGCCTGTTCCAGAGGCCCAGGGATCATGGAGTGAGATATCGCAGGATGCGGCTTCATTTCAGTACAGCCGACCTGACGGATCCTCTGGTCGCCTCTATTAGTTGACGGATGGGGGAAGCTGAGGCCCAGAGTGAGGTTGTCATGGGCTACTTGCCTCTATCAGCCGTGGGCAAACTATGGCCTGCAGGCCGGATCCGGCCCGTTTGAAATGAATAAAACTAAAAAAAAAAAGACCGTACCCTTTTATGTAATGATGTTTACTTTGAATTTATATTCGTTCACACAAACACTCCATCCATGCTTTTGTTCCGGCCCTCCGGTCCGGTTTAAGAACCCATTGTGGCCCTCGAGTCAAAAAGTTTGCCCACCCCTGCAACATGGTTAAGGCCTCCTTCCAACTCTAGCTCCTCTCACTCAAGAGCCTGCATTGGCTCCCTGTGGTCCCCGGGCTAAACCCAGGCTACACCTCACGCTCAGAGTAGGATTCAAAATGGATTGCAGGTCTACGTGTAAAATGTAAAATCATAAAACACCTTGATGAAAACATAGGAGCAAATCTTCCAGCCCGAGAGTTAGGGGAAGAGTTTGCCAGCACGGCCCCAGAGGATGAGCCATGACCAAAAAATGGGTACCTTGGGCCCTGGCTCAGTTAGTTGGAGTGTCATCCTGCACACCAAAGGGTTGCAGGTTTGATTCCTGGTCAGGGCACATACCTAGGTTGTGGGTTCGATCCCTGGTCAAGGCACAAATGGTAGGCAACCGATTGGTGTATCTCTCTCACATAGATGTTTCTTCCTTTCTTCCTTCCTTTCTTTCTTTCTCTCTCTCTCTTTAAAAAAAAATATAATAGAAAAATATCCTTAGGTGAGGATTAACAAAAAACAAACAAACAAAAACAACAAAAACCAACCACCTTATCATGGCCATAATCAAGGGGTCCATGAGTTTTCACTGAGGTGGATGATATTTTGATACATGTGAGAGAGGAACATCAATCAGCTGCCTCCTGCACATCTCCCTCTGGGGATGTGCCCACAACCAAGGTGCATGTCCCTGACTGGAATCAAACCCGGGACCCCTCATTCTGCAAGCCGACGCTCCATCCACTGAGCCAAACCGGTTTTGGCAGGGTGCGGATTTTTTTTTTTTAAAAAAATGGACAAATTGGACTTTGTCAAAATTTAAACTTTTGGTCTGTGGAAGATGCTGTTAAAAGGACAAAAAGGCAAGCCACAGACGGGAAAAATGCTTGAGAGTATCCACAAAGGATGTGTATCTAAGATATACGAAGGCCTCCAAAACTCAACGGCAAGAAAAACAACCCGGTTCAAAAACGGACAGAGACAGACAGACGTTTCACGAAGGAGGATACACAGGCGGCAGATAAGCACATGAGAAGTTGCCCACCATCGTTAGCCATGAAAGAGATGCCCACCAAACCACGGTG